AAAAATCAAAATACTTAATAATTGAAATACCTAACAACAAAAGTAATCTTACCTTAATCATTAAGAATTCTTTGTCATCTGCACTTGATAGAAAACGGTCGATTTCACCCTTTGTCAATATTTTCGATTTTTTCGCTTGATATCCGTCACCGGTTCTTTTCAAAAATGCGATCAGCTTGGGGAATTTGCTTATATCTATGTTGTCGTAAATTATCAAGCATGACTTAACCATAGAATATTGCGCCCATAATGTGGAAGACTTGTAATTCTTTGCATTTTCACTGAAGTATGCCAACAAAACATTCTCGCTGTATACTTGAACATTTTTCTCGGCGCACCACTTTTTGAACCGATTGTAGGCTATATCGTATAAAGATCTTGACTTCGTAGGCAGCAAATTGCTTATTGCAATATTTGCAGCCTCCACAATCTCTTCCGACTCACAATTATTCATTGTGCACTAAACAAACTTTAAACTAAACCAAACTAGCACCTTAATTTGACAATTCTTTTTGTTTGTTTATTTTGTAGTTATGACAATAACTCAACGACTACTAAATAAATGCTCAAATCCGAATACAATAATTCTGGTGCTACTTACTTCATAATGACAAAATATGTGTTTTTAAGTTAATGAGACCGTGGAAAAAATAGTATATACCATTCGGGAGAGATGCTATTTTGTCCTCGGTGCATTGTAGCCCTCGGGCTTCAAATTGCACCTCTGCCAAAATAACGCATTTCTCTCCCTTATAGTATAATGTACTATTTTTTAAATTTAGGCTTCTAAATTCGTTTAAACTCCCAGAATCAACTGTTAATACATAAATAAAGTGAAATGCAGAAGGAATACGTTTATTTTTTTTTCCGGCGTCATTAATTTTAATACCGATTTTTTTTTCTCAAAAATCAAGACAATCATTTTATTTTGATTGAAACTGCATTAGTTTTTATGCTAACGACTTCTACCACAACTCAATTTAAAGGTGTTTTCAAGAACTTTAATAGGTGTTATATAAGTTTTCATCGAAAAACCTTTAATTTTTCCGCTACAGGACGTTGAACGTTTCGATTATAGCTATCTTCGAAATTGGCTTCAACTTCTGGGAGTCATAACTCGGGTTCTATACCATCTACAAAAATAAAAAAGCGATCTCTTTGCTATTTAATTACCTTCATTTTTGCTTATAATCATTTTTTTGATAAAACTTGTAGTTTTTGAGATATTCGAGGAAAATGGCATTTTTTGGGCTATGTTTAGGCACAAATAACTCAAAAAGTATTGACTGTACAAAAAACATTTTTTGCTTAGAATTCGTCCCTCTATCGAATCGGGAGGTTATTTTTAATAAAAAAAATTCCCACCCTCCAGAAGGGGTAAAAGCACACATCGGCACTATATAACTTTTATTTCTTGGGCTATTCCGTAGCTACAGTTCAAATTTCACGTCGATCCATTCCATCCGAAAAAATTGGTAGCCAAAATGCTTCAGTGACTGGACTATTATCCGTATTAAAAATAGCAACCCCTCTTTAATTCTCCGTCACACAGTGCGCCATACTAGCTATGTCCTCTACGTTGGCTGTACATGTAAAAATGACAATATTACGATCCCACAGAGAGCTGTGCTAGCTGTGTTTGTTATGTATATTAAGAATAAATGCAATTGTGGATAGCTAATGCTACTTATAGTACGATCGTATTCGATGCAAAGTAATAAATCATTGCCTGTCAAGGGAATCAGTGCAACACATTTTATAGGGGGTTTTGGAAATTGAATAATTTCTTTATGCATTATGGATTAACAGTTATATATTTATGAAGGACAAAATGAAAAACAAAGGCATCTCCTTCGCACATTGGGCGGCAGGACAACAATACATTTATTACTCCCTTCATTATCCCTCATATGACTTGTGTCTTGTGTTTTTTGCGGCGGCGCGCGTGCCGGCCTGGCGTGGTCAGTTTCGTTTCGGTTGTATTGGTGCTGCGTGTTTCTCGCTCGCGATATTTGTGAGGTTATAACTGTTATAAGTGCAATTATATTTCTTTCGGGCTATATGTGTGTTTCGCGCTATTATTTGAGAATTTGTGAGTGAAATCATATTTCTTGTGCTCCGTAACAAAAGTGTTTTTAGTGTTTTATTTGTGTGCTGTGTGTGTGTTTCGGGCTGTTGTTTGTGAATCGTGAATGCTATTATATTTTCTGTGCTAGTGAAGTGAAGTTTTTTGTATTATTATTGCTCTGTTGTCGTTATATGGATAAATGGAGGCGGTGCCTGGATGTTCGCGAGCCGGATGTACTGCTGTGGGTACAAAAAAATCTATATTAAGTTACAGAGAAAAAACGATAATATTAAATGTCTATAACCCTTTAGAAAAGGATCATCCCATGAAACTGAAGACTGGTTTGGTGGAAATGTGTTCTAGATATACTGGAGTAAGCGAATTATCTGTTTTCAAAATTTTAAGAGAGAAGAAAATTGAAGGAGACGTTAAGAAACCTAAAAAAGGGGGTGCAAAGAAGAAATTAATATTAAATGAAGATGAGAAAAATGCAGTTTGGCGTACAGTACATAAATCATAGAATTTATATTTTGTTTATAATTTGTTAACATTTCTTGTTTGATAGAAAAATAACTTATTTTGTTGAGATTGGTAGAGAATTGTTGTTAGTGTTTTCATTTGATAGAATCATATCATAGGATTTATATTTTGTTTTCATTCTGTAAATATTTATAGTATATCTGTTATACAAGGTTTTTGCTTTGAAACTTCGTTCTCCTTATAAAAAAAAGAATCGTAATGGGGTGCGATGAAGAGATCAGTTCACGTCTGGAACCCTGTTCCTACAAAAATCCCTTTATTCTCATAAACTATTTGTTTTAAATGTAATTTATTATAAATCCAATTCGTTATTTAAATTCCACATATGTACTACATTTCACCTCTGTACGCGCCACTGTTTATTGTTCCCTGCTCTACGATCAAGCTCGCCAGGTTAGTATTTGACGTATAACCGACCACTTCGTACACTCGATGCACCTGGCCGACTACAGCTAGTACCAGAACACAGTGCGTATGCGGCGGTATTTCAGATTTTACATTCAATTTCATTTTAAATTTGAAACGGTTCATCTTACGCCTCCTAAAAATGATGACACGATTTTCCTTTGATAAAAGACCGACAATTTTTTGCTCTGCTTTGCATCGAATACGATCGTACTTATAGGTATAGTTATAGCAGCTATGTTCGATATTCACGTTGAAACGTTAATAGAACCTTAAGAACGTTACACCAGTTAACCATTATGTGTTATACTATAGCTACTTTCGCCATGATCGTTACGCATTTTAAAAGTAATTTAATGTTTAATTCTTCGGTCACACGCTGTACTATAGTAGCTATGTTCGCTACGTTCGTGTATACGTTAAAAAGGGGCAATATTACAATGACACAGAGCGCTCTACTGTTGTGTTTATTATGCTTGCTATGTGTAAGGCTAATGTCATAGCTAACTATGATCGCTATACATTTTAAAAAGCCACTATTACTTATTAAATCCTTGATTTCTCATCTTGAAAATATCTATGAAGCAAGAACGAAGTGATAATAAAAAAATTTAATTTGAGCCTGCGACACCCCGCTGACTGTTATTTTTTTTTTTTGTTGCAGACAAGGTGTCGGGGCCCGCTCGTGGCACAGCGGAGGTGAGGGCGGCGTAGACAAGAGCCGGCAAGATTTCCGACTGCGGCAAGTATTGCGGCCCCACCGCCAACGGCCCCACCATTTCGTTCAGCAGCTTCCGGCAGTCCTTCACCTCCAATGTCAATTACCTGAAACGGCGCTTCAGCTCCGGGGACCTGTCCTCGGAGTGCGATGATGCCGAGGCGCCGGTGGACCCCTACACCAAGCCGCCGGTCACCGCCCAGCCCCAGGTGAGTAGCTGTCGTTAATTTTGAAGACGCCGACCGTATAATTCGCAATATGTGTATACTCCAGGCCCAGAACTGTAGGCTAGAGGTCACTACTCGTTCTCAACATACAGACTACATACAGGGTGGGTTCTTGAAAACGAAACAGAGCGAATAACTCAGAAAATTTTTCGAATAACGCCGAAATATGTCGATTTTCGATCGAAGAGGGAATTTACCCCCCAAAAATCTTAATAGGGGAAGAGGATTAACTGACACATCGTTTTACAATAAAACCAATATTCTAGTTGCGATATGTGAAGAAAAACTTAGTTTCAAATCGAAGGTAAAACAGAGATCCGAGAACGTGGTTGGTCTTTGTAAATGACTATTAGAAAGTGCCCTAAAAATGGCAATAACCATCCACCTAAACTGAAGAACAATAGTATAGTACAATCAGAGTCACTAAAGTAGGTATACACTAAAAAACTCAACAGGCTCATTCAGTGATATCTGAAAATTTGAAGTATGTTTTTCCCTATCGAATCGAAAATGCATTTTCATTTTGTCGTAGGTTTCTTTCTAGCCTGACAAACACACAAACAGCCCGAATTTTGTGGTAAGGAACGTGATGTTCAGGAAATCTTTCCCTATACAACTGAACAGATCTTCTAGAATCTTTCTGAGATTCTCCATAAATTAATAACATATCAACTTTTTCTGCGTGTGATAGCATTGTTACAAATAATCGAACAAACACTGAAAACTGCTAACTATACCCTGTCTGTAAACACTTGAAAGCGCTAAGCAATACTCGTTTGACACTGATGACAAGTAAACGTTATAATAATGTAACCCAATCAACTGTTTTCCAGAGAATGTCCGATCAAGTTATGACTAATGTAACTTTGACGTTCTAATTATTGTTTTTACTTCTGATCATAACTTTTTAATAAAAATAGATAGAGAAAAAACTTTTAAATAAAACTTTATCGGAAAAATATGTGGTTTTTGAATATGGAAAAATACAGGTATGTTCCTGGAAAACAAAAATGATGACGTTATCAACACAATTTTCAAAATATCTAAAATTTTAAGTTTTGGTGCAAAATGCACTTCAATCCATGCCACTTGAACTCCATACTTCAAATCTTCAGTAACATTTTTCGTTACCCTGTAATATATCACTGGGGCGTCGAGTCTGGGATACCCTGTATATTATAAAAATTAAAATTAACAAAAAAAACCTTTGGGAGAAAACCGAAAATTACTGTATCGTTCTTTCCCGTTTCTTTTTATATTTGTAAACTTATTTTAATAATATCTCTGCCAACAAACCGACTATATTATGAAATAAGTAAGAACATTCCATAACAAAATTTAATAAAGGGATGTAATGGAATTTTATTCCTGTAAACAAGATTATTTAGAAATGCCCAATAAAAATCTGACAAATTACGCTTCCTCAAAATTCCCTTAGAGAGATCTTATTAAATATTTAATAAAAGTTCAAAATTAAAAACAACGGCAGATCTTTTTAAAATCCAAGGTGAATTTTTCTTTTGTTATACTTTGTCGGGGTTAATAAATTAATTTATTTATTTATTAAGTTCATTAAAAATAAATTTGGAATAAATAATTTAGTACCTACAACGCAATATACTCCTCAAAAATTAACTGAATCTAAACTATTAAAAAACATTTTTAGTAAACTTTTTAAAATCTCTATGCAACTGTTTCTTACAACTGTTTTCTTAGAACTCAGTTTTGCTGACGTGTCCTTTTGAGGAAACCTGTGTAATCTTTCCATAAAATTGGAAATGCCTAATCCACCCCTTATAACCGCAACACGATATCTCTAAAATGAAAGTGAACTAAAAGCAACCCCTTGCATTCAATGTCCGTAGACCTTGCCTATTCAAAGCCGCTTCATCTATCATCAGCTTTATGTAGGTAGGGTCAATTAGCAAGAGCTTTTCCCATTTTAATAAATGGTAAAAGTTCCTTTTGCTCCGAACCCTTCCTAGAGGTTACACCGCAAAGGAAATATACATTGCAGTTTATTCATGGCTAAAAACACATTAGTGAACCCCGTGTTTGCAAAAGGGATGTGTTTTCTTGGAAATATCTTGGAGTTTTAATTAAAATACTTCCCCAGGGTTGGCAATAAATTTCATGAACTCTGTTCAGTCACATGGAAGACTTCTTTTATTTGCTTTTGTGTAAAACGGAATTTAATTCTCGGAAAAGATCGGAAAAATCTCGTACCTCTTTGCCAATTTTACAATTGAATTAAGCTTTACACATTCCACGTTTTTTCGGATTCATTTTTATGACGTTTGGGAAGGGACTTTAAGACGCTGCCTTTTAGGACTGTATCGGTGAAACGAATCGAGCAAATGAAAGAACGCCGGTTGATCAGAATTTGATGTAGAAGGGATTTTATGCGAAAGGCAATAAGGGCCTGTTGCTTATCGGCTTTATGAGTTTTTCTAAACAGGAAATTTCTTTAGGAAAAATTAAAGTTACCGTACACCATTGTATTTTGTTACAAATAATAACTATTAAGGAGGTATATCAGGGTCCGAGGGAAGTGAGGAGCGCAGGGGGGGTCCTATGCTTTTCTTATGGAACTAAAACCCGCTGCCAATTTAAATTCCATTGAAATTATTTGTGATAAACATTATCTACATATATAGCAAAGAAATCTATTCTTATGCACATAGCATACATATTGACTAATTAACAACATAAAAATATCATATTTAAGTAGTTTTAAATTATATTTAATGAAGGCATAAACACTATGTAGATGTGGCGACAGCAGTAATAATTGACTAGCAGTTGTGCACACACAGCGAACCTACAGACCTCAAACAACGAGAATTATATTAATTTAGTTCTAAAGAAATGAAATGACACTCGCGCCCATCTCTCGTCCAAGTCATAGAAAATATTGGATGCAATTTTGAAGGTTCTGTGATAGAAATTACATTATTACTCACTGTTCGTGTTTGTCATCTTTATTTTAGTAATGTTACAAAAGTTTTGCAACTATAACATTTTTTTTAGATATAAAGTTTGCTTACAAATATTTATCTCAAGTATAACTAATTATATGATTCAAGTAAAGAAAACTTTATGTAACCCTAAATATTGCTGGGTACGGATTACGATGTTTTTATAAACCATTAAATATGTTAAAAGGATTTATCAACTGTATTTTTTATTCCAATAAATATATCACAGCTTCCTAGTCTTTTTTTATTAATCAGTTTTTTAAAAACATGACAAAAAATCATCTGTTGTAGATAATTTATTGTTGATGACAATGTACATGGGATTTAGGAAAAATGTATATGTTTGAAATCAATAATCAATTTCGTTTTTATCAAGCCTTTCAAATGTATTCCCTCCTTGCTGTCAGCTGATTGCGACGTTGCCACATTAATCCTCAAGTCAGACAGAAATGCAATTATTGGTTTCTGTTTCTAATTAATGCAGCTGTACTATGTTCAAAAATTTATTATTACATTAGTTTTACATCAAAAATAAGATAATACTGTGTACTATCAGCTATGGAAAAATCTTGTTTCACAATTTCTACATTTTTTTCTCAGTATGGGCAAAAAAGAGCCGCACCGTCCATCTTCGCCATATAAACCTATGTTAAAATGAACAACTTTCAACAACAATATCTCAAAATCTAGATTAAAAAAAATATGACGCACAGAGGGAGCACTAGGTAATACGCTATATAAATTTCAAGTACATCTGCATTTGAGTAAACCCTATTTATTTCCAGTGAGATTACATTTATATTGGCATGCAAAGTGGCTTGAACTTTTTATATCTTCGACTGCAATAAAAGTTAAATTTTTCCAAATTTTCCATGTTTTTCTAATTTTCAATGAAACCTAAATAGGTCCTGACACAGATTGGTACTAACATAGTACACACTTATTAATTTTTTTTGTTTGTTCGCTATAGCACACGTATACATATACATTTCACGATGTTGCTCATGTAAAAGTGGTTGCATATGTTTGTTGTACAGTAAAAACTCATTTCTAGTTCTTCAGATTGACAACGTACGTTATATGTTGTAACAAAGTAATTCACAACTTAATAAAAAAAATTTTAATGGAATTTTATACGGGATTCATACAAATACTGGAGTAAGAAAAGGGACACGAAAATTATTTATAGCGGGCGTTTTATAGACAAGAAATCTTGCTGTTAGTCAAGATTTATACAGGGTGTTTCAGAAAGATCTCTCGTCAATACAGGGGGTAATAGTACGACAAAAAATAGGATTTTTTTGTCGTATGAACTATTACTCCAGTCGGCAGAGGCCGAAAAGTTACTGTTGGTGACATTTTCTTGATAACTCGGAATAAGTACACAGGTCTACTTTCAATGATGAGTATAATAACAGGCTAATTTGCTGACAAAGTATTTTATCAGGAAAAAAAGTTATTAACAATTTAATCGTGAAAAAAAAAATTTTTTTAGTAGTTTTCTTTAAATAACAGCGGGATGACTTTGTACGAAAAAATGCTTAGGACATGATTTTGTTCGTAATAAAAATAGCTACAAAATGGCGGTGGTCCGATTACGAAATTTGCAATAACAAAGCCGTGAGATTGAAACAACGGTTTAAAACGCCAATTTTTTTAAGTTGCTGTAAAAATGTCAATTATAAACAAAAAGTGATAAAACTTTCGAAAACTATAGTTCAATATATATGCAATAATGACGCTAAAGCCGGAAATCAGGAGAGCAAAACTTTTTGTTCTATAAGGTGTTATACTTTCATCGGCATATGAAACTCGAAACTTTGCCAAATTTGTTCAAAGCTTTGCTGACACTTGAAATTTGGTACACACATAGTGTAAATATGCAGAAACTAAAAGCAATTTGCAAAAGTCAAGTATCTTCATTTTTGCAGTTTTGGTAAGGTTTTGTACGTCACCCTAGTTTTATACGTCACAGTTTTTTTAATTTTTGGACGTATATTTATG